GGGGGGGGTGTGGGGCAGCCTCCTCCCCTCCTCTTGTCTGGTCCCTGCCAGCAGGGCTCTACCCCCAGCTCTTGGGCACTGCCTGCCCAACCTCGGCCACTGGCACTAGGGACCCCGCCCTGTGGGGGGAGTGGCTCCTGGCTTGGCCCCTAGCAGGGTGCAGCGCTGGAGCAAAGCAATCAGCGTCCTTCCAGGGTGGCTCCCCCAGCCCAGTGTTTCTCAACCTTTTTTCATAAAGTGCCCCTTTAAAAAAAATTATAAGTACCCCCCAGTACCTACAGTTTTCAGACACCATTTTTTTTCTACCATGGCAACACATTTGTTTAAACAACTTAATCGTGGGTGGGCGATGAAATTTTTGGGTGTAAAAAGTACCAAAATAATCAAGCGCTGTAAAATTTAAAACAAAAATTCAGTTTTCTCCAAATTTCAGTTGTGTCGACGTACCCCCCAGACTTCTGTCGAGTACCCCTCAGGATACACGTACCACTGGGTGAGGGACACTGGCCTAGCCCACTCCCCCTTCCGTTTCAGCTCTCCATCCACGAGCGTGAGGACAACCCCGAGGGCTACATGCTGGTGATGAAGGGCGCCCCGGAGCGCATCCTGGACCGCTGCTCCACCATCCTGGCGCAGGGCCAGGAGCTGCCCCTGGAGGAGGAGATGAGAGACGCCTTCCAGAACGCCTACCTGGAGCTGGGCGGGCTGGGGGAGCGAGTGCTGGGTGAGGGGGCCTGGGCACTGGGGAGGGGAAGCACTAGGGGTGAACAGGGGGTGATTGTGAATGAGCAAATCATATGAGCGTGCATGCGTGTGTGCGCGTGCGTATACAGAGCAGGGCCGATTGTGCCCGGGGACGTGTGTCCGGCTGCGGCTCACGCTGGCACTCTTGGCTCTCCCAGGCTTCTGCCACCTCTACCTGCCCCAAGACAAGTTTCCCCGGGGGTTTAAGTTTGACGCGGACGAGATCAACTTCCCCACCACCAACCTGTGCTTCGTGGGGCTCATGTCCATGATAGACCCGCCCCGGGCAGCTGTGCCAGATGCGGTGGGCAAGTGCCGGAGCGCAGGGATTAAGGTGAGGCCCCGAGGCAGAGGTGTCCCTGCAAATCAGGCCAACCTGTACTCAGCGCTGGGGGCAGAGCCGCCCAGACAGACAGCTATGCCTGCTCCCATGCTAGATACAAAGCCGGGGACCATGTACACCTCATAGCAGGCATGGTATGTGGGGCCAGCGGCTGCATTGTCAGGAGCAAAGAACCCAGGAGTCCTGGCTCATACTTCAACCACTACACTGTGCTCCCTGAGGCATGTAGGAGTCCTGACTCCCAGCCACCCTGCTCTAACGAATAGACTATGCTGCTTCCTAATATAATATTATTGTCTTATCTAATTAAAAACCCCTTGTGCTAAAAGCGGGTGTTCCCACCACCCCCGGTCAAGAAACTAGACCTCACTCCCCTCCCAGAGCTCGGAATAAAACCCAGGAGTCCCCGCTCCCAGCTGTGCTCCTCTAACCACTAGCCCCTACTCCTCTCAGAGCTGGGGACAGACCCCAAGGGTCCTGGCCCTAGCTCCATTCCCATGGCACTGGGCCCTGCCCATCAGTGTCCATGCCTTGACTGCTGCATGGCTCCACCCCCAGGTGATCATGGTGACCGGGGACCACCCCATCACTGCCAAGGCCATCGCCAAGGGCGTGGGCATCATCTCCGAGGGCAACGAGACAGTGGAGGACATCGCAGCCCGGCTCAACATCCCCGTTAGCCAGGTCAACCCCAGGTAGGCGGGCCCCAGCTCCCGGGGCCCCCCAGCCCGTCTGTGGGGAGCTGGCCAGCCCTGACGCTGCTCTCGCCCTGCAGGGAAGCCAAGGCCTGCGTGGTGCATGGCTCTGACCTCAAGGACATGAGTGCGGAGCAGCTGGACGAGATCCTCAAGAACCACACGGAGATTGTCTTTGCCCGCACCTCCCCGCAGCAGAAGCTCATCATTGTGGAGGGCTGCCAGAGGCAGGGGGGGGGGCTGTCAGCACCCAGCCTGCCCCCCCCCCGGC